TTCAGAGTTAGCTTTTATTTTTATTTTTTCTGAAAACCGGTTTTTAAATCTGCAAATAAACAACAACAACAATTAAGAGTTCGCTTAGTTCTCATTAAGAGGACACTTTGGACTATATATCTATGAAAAACTGATCGATTGGTATCTCAGTTTCCGGAGACCTGATGTAGTTTTCGAAAGATCGCCTAGAAAACTGATCAAACTGAAAATATTTTCGGAAAATGGTTTTGCTTACGAAAATATAGGCTAAGCTGTTCTCTTGCAATTGCTAAATGGCTCATATCTCTATCTTTTACCATCTTTCAGTTATTCAAAAAAACAACCCTATATTTTAGCGTGTATAATAATTGAGATATTAATTAAGATAGTCAGTACTCATTGATAAAATAATTAGCTAAGATGATTCTATTTTTATTTTTGTAGAGAATATTTAGTGGTATACGTGGTAAAAGTTTAGATGAGTTATAAATAATAAAATATCAAAGAGGAGCCCGTATTTCGTGAAAGTGACCGTTGCACAGTGGCACTTTTGGCTAAGGCAGGCGGACATAGGGTTTCTTTAGGATAAAGCCTTTTTTCATCGCTATTATTGCTACTCATAAGTCTAACGAGCGGTTAAATGCGAAAAAAGTGATTTCTAAAAAACAGGTATTTTTTTGAAAAATCAGCTGAGGGGGATGATTCTAAATATCGCCTTGGCTTTCAATAAAAATGCTCCTGAGCGGGAAAAAATAGACTCTACGTGCGAAACTTGGAAAAATCAAGGGTTTTTAGAAAATCGAAAACTTCCTATAGGAAAATAGACGCATTTTTGCGCGTGGTATTGGTGGTTTTTCGGGCGTGTAATCAGATTTCCTTGAAAGCTTTGAACTGGTATCCAGTGATTTCAGGTAGCCATGAAATCGGATGGAACATACGTAATCGACTATGCTGGATCGGATGACAATATTTATTTTGCGAAAAGAGTTCAACAACGCGGCGAAAACGGACTTTTATCAAAATTGAGGTGTTCAGGCGTATTAAAAAATTTACTAATCCTAGAAATCGTATGCTTTCATGGGACGTGCTGCGCCCGAAAATTCTTTTGGAGGATCATCGGAGGATTTTGATAATATGTTCACTGGACAGACCATAGCCGGCTATTTCTGCAAGTATTTTCTGAGGACTTCATATTTCAGTAAATCCTGAAAAGTTTTCTGAAGATCTCCTCGAGATCCTTCGGTGATCTCTGAAGACCTGACGAATATACCCACTGGATGCACCATAGTTGATTACATATGAATCCACTATTTCTCCCACAATATTTCGCGCTTTATAGCAAAGTACAAATTGGATTAAAATTCGAAGGAACAAGGTCTCTTAACTGGTCTAAAGAAAAAAGACAGCAACTTTTTTTTAATCTCTCATGGTAACTTTGGACTACTACAACAGTAATACATGAAACTCAAAATTTTGAAAGAAATTCATGTTGTATATCAAAAGTTATAAGTAGTCTCACTGGGAAGTGTAAACGAGTCATGTTTTCTCACCATTTATTTAGAAAATTACACAAAAAGTAAGCTATAAGACTTTATATTATATTGTTACCCAGGATGACAAAAGTAAATTTATTTTTGAAACTATGCCATTAAAGTTGTTAAAAGATTTAGAAAGCTAAGAATTTTTATTATTGAAGGACTTAGTTTTTTCACTTATAAAAGTAGTTAGTTCCTTGGTAAAAGATGCCATTAGAATCTAAGAAGGACACTACGTTAGGCATCTCTGTTCACTAAGACAACTCGAGGCTGCTGATTTTACGTGAATTCAGTAAAACGAGTCGATTTCTGTCATAAAATCATCTTCAACCAAAGAAGCTTTGTGTTATTGTAATCGAGACTCATTCCAACTAGAGGATGGAACATTTTGCTATATTACTCGAATATTTCGCCCCTGGAAACAATGTTACGGAACTACCCACCCTTGTTGTATTCGAAGAGTAATATTATATTTCTTCAAATTTGTTATACGCTGAAGTTTGGCGGTAATTAATAAGACTAAACAGACATACAATCATTACACAGCCGAGTTCAACTGCTGCGTGATTCTGGCTTGTAGGACATATTTTATCAATTTTCAGTTCTATTTTACTCTAATCTGAATGATTTTAGTGTCAAATCAAGAATGCTCCCGACGATGGTGTACGCTTACTCTGTTCGGACAAATCGTCATTTCAAATTCTAACACGAGCAATTTCAGACAGCCTCAAAACTTTTAGTGCTAATGCAACTTTTTATGCTCTATTCGCGCTATTAGTTTCAGAAAGTTTCGATGTGCCTGCTAGGAGTTATTCGCCATTCGATTTGCACAATGTCGTTCTACACATTGAGTGAAAACTGATTTTTTAAAAGTCTGAACATTTTTCAAAAACCTCGAATGCAAAACCGTATATTAGAGTTACACCTTTCTTTTACTAGCCTCGAGCTCTTTCATTCTAGACCACTCTCGATTTTCCAGGTTGCTGCTGCGCTGAGCTGCAAAGCGCTTTGTGTCGCTCTACACAAAATGACACTTTTGAGTGAGAACTGAGAATCTCCGTAATCGTAAAAATACGAATTTTCGGTCGATTATTCGAAATGAGCGAGTTCTTCCGCGTTTAAAATATTCCCTTCATTTCTCTTCTTATTAAATACTGTATATATTGAAAATAGAAGCACTGAATTTTAATTTTTTCTCTTTCACCACAAAGTAGCCTAGAAACACAACAAAAAATGAATCTGACCGATCAAGCCTAAAGGCATGAACCAACGGAATCTGGCTTTTTTAAAAGGAAAAATCGCTTTTACGAGACCCAAGTGAAGATTTTATGGATTTATGGCAGATGGAGTTTTCGGAAAAACAGATGAAGTCTTTTTCCCATCCCTTTTCCTTAAAGCTCGAGAGTTCCGAAACTGCATCGGTAATTAAACTTGACCAGGCATCACGTTCACCCATGTTGCCAAAAGCTTCAGTTGCATCAATCTTAAGACCGTGTTTAATCTAGAAATTTCCGATGTATTTCCTACTAGATTAAAAACTCTTTTACATTAATAAACTCTTTACATTAATCAACAACTATATAATTGACTAATCGCTGTTTAAGGTGAAAGTTTTTAGTATGAATAGTGGAATTAAAGCCGCTTTTTTAAACATATTGATAACGTAACAACTTTATTTATGTGAAAAGTTTCATTCTATACCATAGAACTTCATCAATCAAAATGAGCAGTATGTCTAAATTACAGTGGAAGTAAAACAGAACGAAGATAAAAAGTGGGCGAAACGGAAAAATTTTAATTTTCTCTTATCTTCTTTCTGTTTTATTTCCACTGTAAATTAGACATACTGCTCATTTTGATTGATGAAGTTCTATGGTATAGAATGAAACTTTTCACATAAATAAAGTTGTTACTTTATCAATATGTTTAAAAAAGCGGCTTTAATTCTACTATTCATACTAAAAACTTTCACCTTAAACAGCGATTAGTCAACACTGTTAGTCAAGGCACTGTATTTTTCGAAGTTATAAGGTATGATGTTCTTGTTGAAAAAATATTTCAATCTCAGACATCACCAGTACATTTCTTAAATTAGTACGATATATGATTGGAATTTTGTCTCAAAGTATAAGTGAAAAAGATTAATGTCTTTCGGTTCGCCCGTGAGGTAACGTTTTCGCCGTATGTGAAGAAAATATTTACACTTGAACTTTAGTCGTTTTTTTCACTAATCTGTTTTATAAGTCAGACCACTGGTCTATAGATGTAGTATAGATCGATAGACGACTGAGTTCAGATCAGTAAGAAAATAACAGATCTTATGGAAATGAAAAGAACAGTGGGTGTCTCTATCATTTCTCGTTGCAAAAATTATTCAACTCCATTCACAGTCTTTCAATTGTATTTCTAGTCTTTCAGTTGTGTGATGAAATGTTAAATGTACCTCATACTGAACAAAATAATTACTTGATTGAGATGTGTGAACAATTTGGTCGCATGACACGTGATTTCATAGCGAGAGGTAAGTTATATGATTCATCAATTGATATGGATGAATTATTTCAAGCTGCTCGTATTCTCTGGTTCCTGGGTATATTTGAAATAATATTAAATGAAAACATGCAATTAACTGATTCAACATTTGGTTATTCACTGTTATATCCATATACAGATAATTTTATTGGTTCTAATGATGCAACAAAAGAATGTAAGCAAGACTTTGGACCAATATTTTTTCGGCGTTTAGTATATGGTGAAGAACATGCTGCTCTGCTAGAATCATTAATTCTGGCAAATTCTTTTCAAATCGTATGAAAAAGATCTTTGATATGGTAAATCTTATTGAGAATGATTGGCCAAGAGAATCATATAAAGAAATTTATTATGTCTTAGCAATCATACATGAATCACAAAGACATCACTCATTTCAGACATCCGATCAAAAATCACATCCTTATCCGATTCCGATTGTAGTTACAATCAGACCTCTAGCGCAGCTGTATTTAGTACATGATGAATCTGTGCAAGACCCTTTTTACAATGTTCCTGCGCTGTTTGGGTGTTTTATTCAAAAATTTATTTATTTTTTGTTAATTATTGATATTAGTGTCAATGTGAGAGCTGTTCTTTTCACTTGCGAAGTTCGCAATAGCGTACTTGCCATCTGGTTTCGAGCAGTGATAATTAGGTATGTTACAAACCAAACCCAACCAAAGCATTGGATTTGGGGTACCCAAGTCTAGACTAACGATAAAAAATAATGATATTCGCAAAATAAATAGCATAAAAGAACTCAACTATTTTAGACGTCTCACCTGATTTAAAGAAAGTTTTTACCGTTACCGTCTTGCACACATATATCCACAGGACGAAACAAAACACTGCACATTCTGTTTTCACATGGACTACCATGAAATAAAGCATCTTGCCAGGCTCTTATTAAGCCAAGTCCAGCACAAATATCGTTATTTTTCAGTATCTTAAATACATGTACACAACAGATTTCAGCTGACAGTACTTTCCCAAATTAAAAAGCCTTTATAAAAAGAACAGATTTTTGTTAGGGAAAATAAGGTCGGTGAGCAGAAGGAGACAAATGAAACGTATGGAAGAAAGTCGTCAAGTTACTACTGATAAGTCGCACTTGAAAAAGAAGAAGAGAAGAATGGTCTTTTGACAACTGACCAAGGGAAAACCCAATACCCAAGTCTAAACTTGAGTACCCCAAATCCAAGTCTATACACCCAAGTGGCTTGGGTTTGTAACATACCTAGTGATAATGTTTGTGGCTTTATCAACCATTAAAAGACAAATTACTGATCGAAGAACAAATATAGCAGATTTCGTATATCAATTTAAAAAAATATTTGTTCTTGTTTTTGACTGTAAATAAGTCGAGTTTAAAGCCACTAATGAGATCGATGATTAAGAGAAAAAGTAAACAAAATATCGATAAGACTAAATTCATCGTTTATTGCCTAGACTGAATAGAAAACTCATTGGTTTTGTCCTTTCATCATTTTGATAGCATGGTACTTGAGCATAATGATTATAACTTTGTTTGCATAGAAGCGCTTAAGGGACCCTTGCCTCAGAAAAAACTTTTTTGTATTACATCCGCTTTTGATGAAACTATCCAGCAATGTTGCACACTCAAAGATGTGATCACAATATTTTTTTTCACCCTCTATCTGTTACCGTTCCGCAGTTTTCTAGGGTCCAAGGCCGAAAACCACTCTTCACTATAAATGCCATTTCCTTAATGCAGCTCAAGGTAGAGAGCTGGGGTTGAATTTATTTTAAACCAGACATCCAACTGTGAGGACTGATCTGAGATTTACTGAAAAATCTGCTTCCATCAGTCATCGCAGAATTTTATGCTTTTTCGATTAAAGAGAAAATGTCTCTCTATGATGAATCGTTATTAAGACAAGGGATCTACAGTAGATGAGATCAGACAAAAGAACATGTTTTGAGAGAAAAGGCTGTGCATTCGTTGGTCTGTTTTAGGACATGAAGGAAAATGCTTGTAATTTTTGCAAGATCATACAGAGTTGTACAACGTCTTAGTTGGATCAAAAACGTTCTGCTCTATAAATCTACGTGTTCAGAAGAAATTTACTTGCTTAAGTGTCTGGAAAAAGACTATTATTTGAAGATGCTGGTTTTCAAGACTTCTAGAAAACTTGCTCGAAAACCACGTAAAATCAGCTCTAGGCTCGAAAGCGATACAGATTCTGACGGTGGACACTCCATGCTATCTTTCCATAGGCTTGCCTCCCAACTGATTTCTTGACACAAAAAGCTTTCATTCTGAGGGGGGTGCCGTTAAACTCTTCCCGCTGACTGGTCACAATCTTTCTAGGAAGAATACATAGAATAAAAACAAAAGAAACAAACTTTTTGCTTATCAGTTTTCTTTCAATTGGATATTTGAATACTAACAACGTGTGCTCAATGATTCGTTTGAAAGCTAGTTTTTTAGATACAGCACTGTCTCATACTGGCTCATATAAGAACTAATGCATATTTGTCTTGTTCTAAAGTCCTTTGGTGGCAAACTCAGATTAGTGGGCTGTTTGTTTAATAACTTCCCTATAACTATTTTTCGTTATTTTAAGCCCATACTTGGGTATCCGTTAGAGAATGTCATAGTCTATCTACTCATATAATAATATTAATTAATCATCAGATTTGATTTGAGGAGAAATAAACAAAGAGACATATGTAAAAAAAGTGTGACATAACTTTTATCAGTTTTTTTATTTATTTATTTGACAAAAGGCAAAAGGGCTAAGAAGAAAAAAGTAATACCTACAGTAACTATTAACTACTACCATTACTGTCAATGCAAAAATATTGTTTGAGATGTTGTTGTTTAACAAAAATTCACGCACATCGCTAGCAAAATGGGTTTCGGTCAACGCTCATTTTCAAGATACTGGATCTCAATGACTATCAGGTTGTGCATCCTTGCACATCCATCACAGATGAAAAATGACAAGTCCTATCAAACAATAAAAAACAGTATAACATGAAAATAAAAGAATCAAGATGACAAAACAGACAGTTATAAGTCAAATGAACGATTATTTATTATTGTTCATAACTTATTTTTTCAAATACTGTTAATTGTAGTTGGTGGTGACTAGTATATGTTCATAGCCATAATACATAATAAATATCTTTAATTGTACAGAAAAAATAAGAAAGACCAAAAAACACCAAAATCGAAAAAAAATCAAGTTTTCAGTCTGAGTTTGACGCCAAAGGACTTTAGATTCCCCAAATTTCTAATCCTCTCCTTACCTCGTCTTGTGTTGACTGTAATTCATTAATAATTTTTAATTGATTAACTAAGATTAAATGAACATCGTTGTGTACATAAGGCAAGATTACTGTCATGAACCAATTTGATATTTATTTTTCAATGATGGAAATTGAAATAGAATACATGAATCGTTTGTTTTTTATTATTTTCTAAATTTGTTTCATATTAAATACCACAATATCATATAGAGTCATTGAATTTCATTGATTTAAGGTTTAGATTTGGTAGTCCTTTTAAATATTCTTCATATCCAGCATAGCATTTTATGGATTCTTTAAATTGAGTAGAAACGATAGTTTTTTGTGTTTCATTTAACAATGCATTAACATATTTTAACAATAGTTCTGGGTATCCTGCAGATTGCGAATGCAGCAGAGCAGCTAGACTCAGGATGGAAGACTGCTAATTTAGCACAGCCTCGGTGAAAAATCTCGCTCCGAAAACCTTTTTCCTTTCTATTGTCTAGAAAGACGCACAAATTATAAAAACAAGTCTAGTTTGGTCTAGTCGGTGCTGGTGCCAGTGTCGTTCTGAAAAACACTGTCATATTTTGTAGCACAAATGAAACTCCATCTAAAACCAATACAGTAAGATCTCTAGCATGGAGGCTACGTCTGTCACAAATGACTAAAAGAATCCTATAGAACGGCCGCTTTTCCACCAATAAAGTCATATCGCTAAACAAATTCAATGCTAATTGTTTAGGATGTTCAGTTGATCTGTCTACTATTGTTTTTAGTAACCTATTCGTATTTTCAAAGAAGAACGTTGGATATTTATATAAGTTGTCCAATCGTCGTAAGGACAAGCGAATATGACTAACGAATGTAAATTAATTCGTTAATTAATCTCCTGAAAATTTCAGCTCAAAAGAACGTTTCTTTACAGAGATATTGAAGTCCCAAAAATCACTCATATCCCACGAAAGGTGTTAAAGTTTTCTGTTTTTTGGGACTTCAATATCTCTGTAAAGAAACGTTCTTTTGAGCTGAAATTTTCAGGAGATTCTATTCACAGATAGACCTATCTGTGGGTGAAAAAGCAGGTCGAAACAACCTTATTTGATTTGTTAGTATATACCTTGCCATAGGCTAAAATTCCAGTAAAATGGCTATAACTCTGGATAGAAGATCTGCGGGGATTTATCCTTTTGGGGTTTTTCATACCTCACTGGGGTCTACCTTATGCACAGAGTCCGAACTCAAAAGCGACGGGGCAGTTGGTGGCCTTCCCTCGTAAGTGAATGTAAATTAATAGTATAATGACATAATTCATGTAGATTTTCAAATTCATCACTGAATTCATCAGTTAAAAATTTAACCAGATTAGTATCCTCATTCGGCGGTTGATTATCACTATTGGCAATAACAACTGCACAAACGAATTTTATGAAATTATTAGGATTACTAAAATTTCGACAGCCGGAATTTCGAAATTCAGGAGGCGAATTCGGGTTGTCGCAATTCCAATTTATCAATTATTATAGTATAATACTTTGAAGGTAGAAAATGCAACTAATCTAATGTAAACTACTGTAGTTTTATATTGAGATGATTTATATTTATAAAACAATAAATTGAACGAGGTCTTTGTGACGTTGTTGAAGGTAAGCGATATAATGATAATGTACGATCAATGTCATTCATTTTTTTACGAATAGACCAGTCATGTTTATAGTAAGGAGAATCAAGTTATAGTGTTAATAATTGCAAAAAAGAAGTTAATAATTGCAGAAAAACTGAGTTGGCGAATGAAACAGAACTTTTGTTTAGGTCTATAATCGAAGGTCCTCTTTTGCTGCGCCGGTACGATTATGTTTCTTTTGTCTACGAGAAGCCACCGAAACTGTAGTGAACCCAAGAACAACAGTAAGTTACTAAAAATCATCGATCTTTTATTCTGAGTCTTTATTCAACAAGCTGTCAGAAGAAAGAATCGAAAATAAGACTTTAGTTTTTACTCTCATTACCATAAACGGCATGCACACTGTCAGCTAAGGAGGACATTCCAACGTCAAAATACTCGAGCCTTCTGCATTCACAAAACCTGAAAACTGACACAAATCATAGGAATGCGAAAGCTACTGTGGTTCAAATATCCGAATTTGAAAGAAAATTCATAAGCAAAAAGTTTGTTTCTTTTGTTTTTATTCTGTGTATTCTTCCTAGAAAGATTGTGACCTGTTAATATCGGGATGTGTCACATTAGAAGATTTATAGTCATTTCTTTTACTGTTCATTTTAGATGGCTGTTCGTCTCTGTTAAAGCATGCAGATCTCACCGAACTATTCTGTATATTCATATGTCGTCGTTTTATCTATAACCAGCTAGCTCGCGCTATAACTAGCGGTACGTAAAGCCGCCGGTACAGCGGGCGCTGCATCGGGTGATAAACTGTAATAACTACTATCCACAGTATTACTAGCTACAGCTAGCGATTTATTGGACGCTGTAGCTAGTTGGACAATCGGTAATGAATGCATTATAGAAACTAGTATGGACGTCAAAAAACAGCTTCTCTGGCTATTTTTTGAATAATTTTTGATAGAAAAGCGATCTGCGGTTTTCAGATTCTGAAAATAGACACGTTGTCACAACTTCTACTAAGCAGTAACTAGTTTTGAAACTCTTCGAAAGATCCTGTTTTCCGGCAATCTTCGGAAAAGAACGTTGTGGTTTTCGAAATTAAAATAGCAGCCTATCGATTTTTTTCGATAGATAAGTGTCTGCTTTAAGATCTAAAATCTAGATCTAAGCAAACTCATATTACAGATGTGCGTACGTGTATCATCCTTAATTAAAAGTTATATGGCTTGACTAAGCGCTAAAAGCTATTCTATGCCAATACAGAGCTCAAATAAAGAATTTTAGTATCGCAAATATACCCAAAACCACTTTCTGTGTAAAACCAACAACGCTACGATGTTGAGGACAGTTGATTACTTATATTTCGATCTTTTTGGGGTCCGCAAACCGCAAAACCGCTTGTTCGGGAAAACTTAGCCTCCTTGAAAAACTAAGGAAAATACAGAGTTTACTTAGATCTAGATTCAAAGAAGACACTTCAGCCTACCTGTCTATCGAAAAAAATCGATAAGCTGCTATTTTAATTTCGGAAACCACAACGTTCTGTTCTGAAGATTGCCGGAAAACGGTAAACGGCAACTTGCCCCCAGCAAAGTGCCCCCCGTGCATTTGCTTCCCGGATTTTTGCTCGTCGGACATTTGCTCCTGGGGGACAGTTCCCCCTTCGGACATTTGCTCCCAGGACAGTTGCCCTCAGACGATCAAAGGGGACACTTGCCCCCTCGTGTGGATAGCAGTTTTCTCTCAATTATTTTCACTGACCGTCAGGTCTTTGGTACCTTGAAGGATTGGCCCATGATTACAACGGGAGAGGGAGCGGTTCAAAATGCGAATGAAGCGAAAATGACAAGTGAAAAAACTTATGACACTGTTGCAACTGATATCGGTCAATTGTCAAGCCAAGCTGTAGCCTGGTGGTTGTTTTGGTTGTTTTTTTCATCCGTGTCAATCAGTATATCGAGCTGTTACACGCCTCGATCTCAAGACCGAATACGGTGAAAATGCTGAACTGGCACAGCAATTCGTGCTTTACCAGCCAGAGAAAAAAGCTCTGCACAAGTGGCGGGGGAAAGTGTCCGCTGAATTGGGATTGCATTTAGAGCATATATCCGCATTTGAGTGATACCCATAGCTGCAGTTATTGACTAATAATGATATGGGTGACCATGTCAGAAGCTTGTCAACTGTAGCGAAGATATCAGTCTATTAAAACTGACACTTGTCAGCAATCTACACCGGTGGCGGTAGCGCGATATAAAGCGCGGTATCCTTTCTTTTTTTCCTCTTCTTACTAGAATAAACGCCCAGATTGAAGTTTATCTTTAATAAGAAAAACAAATAAATGGTATGTTTCTGCACACAAAGTCGTCTCTCTATCTTCTATACAAACATTACATACTTCATTTCATTTTCCGATAATTAAAGCATATTTTTGTATTCATTGCAATAGAAAGAAAAAAAATTATGAAAATCACTAAATTCCTCATTTTCTTTCGTGTTGGGATCGCGCGCTGGCTCTTTACATTTCCATGTTTATTTTTTATTCCAACAAACAAGCAAACACTACAAAATCTCGTTACTGGAATCTATAATTGATTATTGAATAAAAAAAGAAGAAAAATGGAAGTATCGAAAAAAGTATTTCCACTTTTCTCAATATTTGAATTGTTAATATGAGGTTTTTCCGTTTTTACAGGTTCACGAACCTTTTTGCTAGTACATAAGATCGTGAAATATTGGAGACAATGAAAGTATTGCTCTATTGTATGATTTTATACTTGGGTAGGGTTCGTGTAGACATTATAAGAGATTACCTAGGTTTTTTTGATGAAGGAGATGAAGGAGAAGAGGAAGCAAATACCATCAGTAGACAATTTCCCGATTATTTTCAATGTCAGGTAAGTCTATCGATCTGTATAAAAGAACGAACATCTAGAAAATCTGTACATCTTTAGACATACCAGTTTTATGAAAATGGAGTAGAAAAGGTTATTCTAGGCGCATTAAATCTCTGTATTCCAATAAATGGTAATAATCTGCAGAAAACTTGTTGTGTCACAGATAATTGTAATGGTAAACTACGAGAGTTGAGCAATGTGGATTCACGCGATATCATTAGTATACCGAACAGTGGTGCACGTCATCCATCAGGCATACAATTTTCGTTTTGGTTGTTGTTATTCGCATCTTTTACTTTCATTTGAAGAAATAACTCTTTTCAGATCTTTCTCTTTTTGTGTCTTATCGCATTGTCCCTTCGTAAATGGTGAAATAAATGCTAAAATGATATAAACCTCGAGTATTCTGAAGAAATGAGAGTGTGTTTTCGATGAGACAGATCAAGAGGGCAAGCGAAGATCGAAAATGAGAGTGCTTGAAACTGGTTCGAAAAGGACTATGATGGTACTTCTGTCTATCTACACATAAATATTGTATTTGATAATTACTCTACAAATTCTATATGACACGGCGTATACGTTTTCATAAACCTACGACTTAAAATTACTTTTTCATATGTGGTCGGGTTTTCAAAGGTTTCGTTTGAAATATCACGTTCTCCTTTGTGTAGAAAAGGCACGAGCTGTAATACTCAATAGGTACCAGTTTTAAAACCTGCCTAGCCCACGGTCGATGATGAAACTAAGAATGACGTAAAACTTATTGTGCATTGCTTGGATACTTGATATGAATATTATAAAGTATAAAGGATACCGCCGGTATTCAAAACTCTTTGTGTTTTGATTTGCTCTGATAGAGTAAAGTAGAGAATTAGAAGGCGCATATGTTTGGATAGTTTCCAATGGTTGCTACTGTATGGTTGTTAAGAAAACTAAAAAGTTTGATCGATGAGTATCGATGTGATGCCTACGCAATAAAAAATCTTTTTCTCAGTAACCTTCCTACTTTCTAAAAAAACGCTTTTCACTATTGGATAGAGCAGATCATTGTGCATTTGTAGATGTTTGAGGTATGGTATAAATCTAAGAAGAAAGTAAACAGTTCACAAAAATAGAAAAAAAAGTAGATTTTTTTAAAATCCCATGGTAACGAAAAATGTTATATCTCCAACAACTGACTTTCAAACAAGACCCCACTTGCACAAAAACACTCTCATATTGTCTGCTACATAACCTGAACTTTTAGTGGTAGACAAAATTGTCCATGGGAAGTTATGGATTTTTTATTGCCGAAATCAGAGCAGACTTTTCGATGACGGCAACGAAAAAATTGAACTTTTTTCAACTCCTAAAGTTTTCTAGTAATACCAATATCATATTTGTAATCAGGAGATGAAACTGAATAGAATCAGGTCCGTCTCGACCATTAGCTAAGAACTGGCTTGATCTCTCTTCGATGAACAAGTGAGGGACATAAGTTACATGCCTAAGAGCAAGCGATTACACAATAGCCCAACTGTAGAGCTTTTGAAGGGCTACAAAATATACTGTTTGAACATTTTTCCATCTAGGGAAAAAAACATTTTTGTAACAGTTTTTTCGAAATTATTCTGTTTTAAGTAGCTGGAAGAGACGTTCATTTTTACAAAATCATAGTGTAAGTTTAGATTTTGAGTATCTTTTGTGCATTCTTCCCTCGCGTATTTTTTCCCTTTGAACAACGAACCGATATATCTTTTCTCCAGTTTAACAGTATTTATATAAATATCTATGAATCATACATGGAATATAGAAAATATAACTAATGAAAATGCACGTGAAAAAGCAACTAAAACAATGGCGAGTGAAGCTCGATTATATATGCTGGGTTATTGTATGTACATAAGAAGAAACGGACTGTTGTAGAACGAGAAAAATACTTTAACTATTCAAGTGGCAATAGTAGGTCGCAAAGGGATGTTCGTTTAAGATTGTTTGATGTTTGATGTCGTGCAATCGATAAATACCATACTACACTGGCAACATACCCACAACAACTATTCGTTCTTTTTCCCATCGCACATTGGCAAGTCTTTCCGGTTATAGCTTTGGATTCATCTTCTTATGCGGCTGCTATAGACATATCATATTGCGCTCAGCAGAAGTATTCGTCCATATGTTTAAATTGACTATGTACTTTACATCTCAATTGCTTGCTTTCATTTGGTAATATTTGGGTAGAAAATTTTCTTTCTGAGACAAAATGCTGCGTACTGTAGCAACGACTCTGTTTTAATTGATAAGAGCCAAAAAAAGAAAGACAGAAGATCTTCTGTTAAAACTGGAAAGGGAACAATGGCTGCATCGACAGTTGTCCATCGGGCCCGTGCACCCCGTTTTCCTGTCTGAACCTTTTTAGCCAAATCATTGGTAGTTGTTGAGAGTTGTAACATTAAATCAGCTAAATGTTGGTCGACAGAAATATTATCTGACCAAAATATTGGACCACGGAATTGATTGATGGATCATCTAAATCTAATCGAGGACGCTGCTGTTCCTGAGAAAAAAGCAAAATATTATTACTTATACAACAATGAACCATAAATATCAATAGACAGTCTTCATACTACATAATAGCATTTTTATCAAAACCCAAGCAATAGGAATAGGAAGGCAGTAATGGCATATTACGGTGGAGGCTATGGGGTTAGTGGCATTATTAATCAGGAGTTTGAACAAGATCGGATTAGTTATGGTCAATATGGTTATGGCTTGTACGAAACAGACCGTGATTATGAACGAAATCCATTTACGGGGTAAATAAGTATTAAAAATGATTTTAGTGTCACTCCATTGAGTGGCGGTTATGAGGATATCGTTATTATTAAAATTAATCATTTTATGCTAAGACATTTTGAAAATTTTCCTCAGAGATTTGTTTTTTGATTTATATTTAGTCCTGATTTTAAAATAAAATATCATTAACTATCCATTATCTTGCTAAATACTCTGTAGTAAAGCTAGAAGTTAATTCATCTATATTTTATCCTCTGTTGATGAACAGACACAGTTTTCTATTAGTTCAATGTTTATACTAGGCGTTTAAGTTGTCAAATGCTTAATTAACAAGATCCGAGCTTGTATACAGCTCGTGTTAGGTTCTTAATTCTGAATAGATATTACACAAAGAATGTGGTGATCCAATTCTAATTGATTATACAAATGGATAATTGAAGAGGTGAGAGTATTTTAGATGTCAACTAAAATGAAGACCCATTTCTACTAGAGAGCTCATATCAAAATTCGGCAGTTTTTTTCGGAAGGGGTTGTCAGTAAAATTTTTTGTGGGAAAATGATTAGCATGGTCAGTTACCTATGAAGTCGGATTTCTCTCATGGAGCACCTTGCTTTTCTGTAAAAAAAATTAAAACTACAAAGACGTCTGTGCGGAAATCGAACCCGTGACTTGACAATAAGAAACATATTCTCAGTTGGCTCTTTAATCAGCTGAGTCACGAACCTATACTTCTTCTGGAAAATACTCCACAGAAAATTGAAGTTTCGATAAACGTTCTGTGGCCTTCTTTGGATCTGATAACGACGACCTACTTTCTTGAATGTTGATACGTAAATTTATCTGTCATTTGCCCTTAGAACTACCGAAACAAAACACAGTCATTTTCTCCATTGTGTATTTTGTTATGTAGCAAACCTATCTTGATTAGTTTTCTAACTTGTTCACTATATTCAGTAACAAATTACTATGTCTTACATTCACAAAAATACAGCTATATATACATGTCACCGAAAATCCGAGAAAGGATTAGAAAAGGATCTAATGACGTCAGAAGAACTAGTCAGAACATGACATCATTAGGTCATGACGTACAAAGAAGAATAGGAAAGAATATATCATTTACTACTGATCGGACTAATGACGTCAATAGAACAGGACATAACATGACGTCAGAAGAATAAGAGAGAAGAATAAAGATATGATCACCATACGTCATCATATTATAACATGTAATGTGAACATGTGTGTGAACAAAATCGAATACAGTAAGGTATCTCGCGTAAGAAAAGAACTATTACTTAACATCTCCAAACCATTTTTAACGCAAGCTTATTTCTTTGATCTCTTAAGGGCCTCCCCCCCCCTCAGAAATGGTGATTTTCGGTCAAAAAATCGGTTTTGAGATACACACATGGAAAGATAGCCTGAAGTGTCTACTTCCAGAATCTGTATTGCTTTTGGTTACAAAAGTGGTTTTTCGGGGATTTTGAGCAAGTTTTCCAAGAGCCTCGAAAAAATGGGTCTTTAAATAATGGTTTTTTCCTGGATACTTATGCAATTAAAATTTTTTTGAAAACACAGCTTTGTAGAGCAAATGTTT